GGGTGCAACAATGAATGAATGGAATCCCAAAATCTCTGTAGATGTTCATTGAAATGAAAAATAAACAACCTAAATTTTTAAAAAAAGAGATATTTAGTAACAATACACAGAAGGATAATGTTTTTCCTACCATAGATCTAACTGTATTTCATGTTATAAATAGCTTTTTTTAGTAGATAATTTTATCACTTTAGCTCCTCTAATAAAATTAAACTGCATTATTAAATTAAGTCTTTAATTTAAAGTATTATTAATAATGTATTAGTTACATGATGGAATTAAGAAATTTCAAAGACTATCTAGAAATTTTATTTAAACAAAATAAATCCCTGCCATTGAGTAATTTCTGACCCATGGTGACCTTACATCAGGTTTATGAGAATGTAAATCATAATGGGACTGCCCATATTTCGCCCACTGAGCTGCTGGTGGATTCAAACTTCAGGAGAAGCATGGCCTTTGGGAGAGTAGTGTAACCTCCTTCACAACATAACGTTAAATATCTATTCATTACCTTTCTTGGATGCTTCAAAACTGTCGTACAGGTTTATCTTCTGAGTGTCATAGGTGAGAGTGGTGTTGGGCAACAAAGTTCTGTTTCTGTTAATTGTATTCACTGCAAATCTGAATGCGAGTTCCTCAGCTCCCATTGGGCCAGATTCCACATATTCAAAAATACCACCTAGAAAAAAAGAGAAAAACCATAGCTCATACCAAAGGGAAAATATCAGACATTTCTGTACTGTGTGTGTGTGTGTGTGTGTGTGTGTGTGTGTGATTTACATCCAGAGTTTTTGTGGCCACAATTTTCCTATGCATTTAAAATTTAGAGGCTTGAATTTTTAGACAAATACATGGTGGCAAAATTGCTTTGGTATTATTGCCACCAAAGCTTAATGTGATTTTAATATGATTTCAGATGTTTTTACTAATTGCTTCTTTCAGGGAAAATACAGATATAGATATTACCCTAAATTCTGATAATTAATTACCCACTCTAAAGATCTGCATACAGTGATAAAATTATCAATCCTCAGTAATGTTGCCAAGATATGATATTGACATTTAGTGATAAATTAATCTCTGTTAGTTCAGATATCAGACTTTTATTTTTGCACTTTATCCTGTGGTGTTTATTGGTTTGTATACAATAATTTGTATACATTTTGTTTCATTTATGCACATACATTCATATACATTGTATTTTATATAATTAATTACCCTATGGGAAGGAATATGACACCAAGATTGGAGGTAGACTCATCAATAATCTGTGTTATGCAGATGACACAACCCTGCTTGGTGAAACTGAGGAGGACCTGAAGTGCTCACTGGAAAAGGTCAAGAACAGCAGCCTTCAATATGGAATCAAGCTCAATATCAAGAAAGCAAAAATTCTCACTATTGGGACGATTGGCAGCATCATTATAGACGGTGAAGAGACTGAGATTGCTAACAGCTTTAGTTTGCTTGGTTCCATAATCAACATGGTACCAGAAGCCAGGAAATTAAAATACAAATTGCATTAGGAAAGTCTGCTGTAAGAGACCTCTCCAAAAGTACTGAAGAGCAATGATGTCAGCCTGGAGACTAAGGTGTGCCTGATATAGGCCATGGTCTTTGCAATTACTTGCTATGCATCAGAAAGCTAGTCAATGACTAGAGATGAAAGAAGGAGAATTGATGCTTTTGAGCTGTGATGTTGGAGAAGAGGAATGAATATACCATAGACTGCTAGGAGAAGAAACAGGTTTGTCCTTGAGAAAGTGAGATTAGGCTGCTCCTTGGAGGCAAGGATTTTGAAGCTTCATCTGACATATTTTGAACCTGCTGCAAGGTGGGACTAGTCCTTGGAGATGGACATCATGCTTGGTAGAGGGACAGTGTAAGAGAGGAAGACTCCTGATGAGATGGATTGATTCAGTGACTGAGGTAATGGGGGTAGGTGTATGGGAGACAGTGAGATTGGCACAGGATACAGCAGGGTTTAGAGCTGTTTAAGTAGGGTCGCTATGAGTCACAGGTGACTCAATGTCATATAACAACAACCCAACTATTATTGTTATCCCATCATTTCCAGTGTCTACAGAATCTTTTCTATTCCTTCATTTCCACTCCCCACCTGCCCATGAAACTTTCCTATCTTAAGTGATTTCCATCCTTCTCCTTTTTTATTGACACAATTTTTATGTTATACTTATGTGTTTAAAAAATGAAAAATTGTATTGACTTGCAAATGTCAGCACTTTACGTGGAAGGAAAGAGTCAAGAAGCATTTCTTTCTTCAACTAAGAATTATTTTTGTTTTAAAAAATATACTTGCCATTTGTAAATGAGAACTCTCCAATTTATGCAAATCTCTTAATCAATGACTTTTACTCTGATGATGTAATTTTCTTCATAAAATGTAGAGAATAAATAATTCAAAGCATGGGTTTTCAATTTGTTACCACTAACATCTGTGATTCAGCCCATTTATCATTTTTTCTCAGTCATTCTCCTCCCTGAAACATCTCTCACTTTATTTGAGCTAGTACTTGAGTGGGACTTTTGCCTCTAATAGCATGTTTTCCACATAGGTGGTTATTTTAGCAAGTAGAATAAAGAGGAACCCTGAGTTTTGGCCCCTCAAACTTCTCTCCTTAGAAACAAGTGCTCTAAAGCATCAAATCATGTATTTCAACACAATCATTTACAAAATAAATCCCATTCATATTTCACAATTCTGACCTCATCAAGTCTTTGCTCCTTGAATATGAGATTAAAATACTGTTAACAAATTCCCTATTCTCTTTAGTAAACTGTCATGATGTTGCAATAATATTTCTAAATATGAAGAATTTGGTAGTTGTTGTTGAATGTCACTGAGTAGTTTCCAACACATAGCTCATAGCCTATGTTGTGTTGTTAAGTGGCATGGCCTCATGGTAAGAAACTGCACTGCAAATCCCAAAGGCACACAGTTTGACTGGGCAATATCCTCCTGTAGGACTAACTGCCTCTGGAAACTCACTGGAGGGCCAGCTATGGGTTGGTTCCAACTTGATGCTGCACAAAAACTCAATGAACAACAGATCTGGACTTTGCTCTGTCCTGCGTCATCCTCAGGATCTCTACCCTGCTTGAGCTCGTTGTTACAGTCACTGTGTCAACCTATTTTGTTGAGGATTTTCCTCTCTTTTCCTTACCCCTTACCTTTCCCAATATGTCTTTTTCTAAGGAATGACCTCTCTTGACAACATAGCTAAAATACATAACACAAAGTTTTGTCATTCTTGCCTTGAGGTTCTTGGTTCACCTCCTCTAAAATAGCCTTGTTTTGTTCTTTTGGGAGTCCATGAAATTCTCAGTTCTCTAATGCCACAATTCAGAGGCACTGATTCTTCCTTCGTCTTCCTTGTTTATTGTCAAGTGTTCAGATGTATAAGTAGTAACTGAAATACTATAATTTACATTATGAACATCTTGGTCTTTAAACTGACATCCTTGCCCTTTACAACTTTGGAGAGATCATTGACAGCAGATTTACCCAGTGCAACATATCTTTTGACTCCTTGATTTTACCATGAGTATTGATATGGATTCAAGTAAAATTAAATCCTTGAGAAACTTCAATATTTTTCTCCATCTCTCCTGATGTGTCATATTGGCCCAGGGTGAGGATTTTTGTTTCATCAATGTTGAGATGTAATCCATATTGAAGGCTGTAGTCTTTGATCTTCCATAGCAAGTATTTCATGTCCTTTTCACTTTCTGTAAGCAAGGTTGTGCTGTCTGCTCAACACAGGTTCTTAATGAGTCTTTCTCAAAGTATAATCTTCATGAAAGCTTATTGCTAGTCTTTTTCTTCAGAGCTACTGGATGATTGATCAAACTACCATTTGGTTAACATTCAATCACTTAACTGCTCAAAAGTGGGACTAAAGAAAAAATATCAAGAGATGAGATAAATTTATATTTTGAAGAAATTTTAAAGTCTGTTGATTCTCTACTACTTTGAAATATTTGTAGTATTTTTTTACTAAATTGATGTTATATCTTACCATAGTATAGTATAGTATGAAATACTACTCTAAGTAGTTGTAAAACACTGTTATGACTCATGCTAAGAAAAAAATAAGTATTTAAACTTTTCATAAGTTATAATCATCAAACCAAATATCTTAGATAAGTGGGCAACAATAGTAATATAAGTATGAACTTTGGATTTAAATTCTGGTTCTGCCATCTGCCAGCTGTGTAAATTTAAGGAGTTACTTAAATTCTCAGCCTGAGTTTTCTTCATCTCTGAAATAGAGATAACAATGGACCATTCTGCATAGAATTGTCATAAAGTTTGAATGTTAGCTCATGCAAAATGCTTAGCACAGTGGATATCAGCCATGGAACAAGCAGTCAGTGTTTCAGGTGCCATTTAATTTCAAAGAAATTCAAAGCAGTGTCATTCTTCCTGTTTTACGGAAAGAACCATCTGGCCAGAGACCATACAGCTATCAAGTGATAGAGCCAGCATTAAAATTTGCTCAAACTTGACCTCAAAGCCCTTACCCAAAAGAAACTACTCATTTCCCTCAAAATTCCACTTGGGCAAAATACACAGAACTTCTGAAAATGTGACATTGTTAATTCAATATTTAATTTACATTTAAAATATATAATATTATATATGTAGTTGAAAAAGAATTCAACAATTAGAGAATGTTACTTAATTTTATTTGAAACAGTCAATTCTACAAATACACATCTAAAGCTTTACATTTAAACAAAATGAAATTTTAAAAATTTCCTCTTTTCTCAACTCAAAATTCAGGTTCAGTATAGAATGAACAAAATAAGAATACAGAAATGATCAATATTTGATGACAGTGAAAACATTCTTAGCTTTCATGTCAATTCAAGAGTCTATATTTAACTTTGTGTTTACCTATTTGTTACATAACTTAATATTTAAAGAAATTTCAGTATCTTAATTAAATAAAATGACCTAAACCCAGGTGTAAATTTTTGTATTAAAAACACCCAGAAAATTTAAGCTTTTCAGGCACTATTTCACACTAGTAAATCATCTCAGTGACTGTATGGGTAAGTTCTGTAATTGTTAATAAGAGTTAAAGAAGAGAAACAAATTGAGTAAATTCATAATCAGGGCATACAGAGGAGGTATAAGTTGGGGGCATAAACAAACAAAAATTCTGGTACAGATCAGTCAGTCTGCCTTTCTTTCTCTTTCTCTCACTGATGCCACTGAGTTGGAACCAATTCAGCTGACCCTCTAGGGTGTTTTCAGAAACTGTAAACAGCACAATAGGAAACTAATTTTTTTTTTTTAACTACAGAGCAGCTGGTATAGTCCAGCCACCTGCCTTTAGACTGGGAGCCCAACTCCTTACCTCCTAGGCCACTAGAACACCTTAGTAAAGAATTATTTTGTTGAAGGAAAAAAACACCCAAAAATCCAAACCAACACCAAAAAAAAACCCCCAAAACCCAAAACAAACAAACAAAACACGGACCAGGATGGACATCTCAAATATGAATGGGAAATGAATCTGTACATATACCTTAACATATTTGGAAGAGTTTTTCAACATCTAGCATATCAAATATCAAATGTTCGAAGCCTATTTTTTAAAGGGTAAAATTATAATAGATATTAAGAAAAATTTCTAGAAATCACTAATA